GCGGTGGCGGCGGCAGTGTCGTAACACTCGGAGGGGGCGGCTTCCCGCCGCGCAGATCCTGGCCGTGGAGGTTCAGCAATGACGCCTGCGCAATCGTGAGCCGCGCAGGCGACTCTTCGCCCTCCCGCACCATGCGTTCGTTCCTCTATAAATATTATTAAAAATAAAATAAAATAAGCAAACAAAGAATCAGAATCAGAATGCAAACTCCCAGCGAGGGAGCGGGTGGTACGTACCCTCAGCTCGCGCTGCTCGGCCGTATCCGCAAAGCGCACAGAGATACGGCTCCCCGTGTCGTTCCACCCGCGAACCATGCGCCCGTGCAGCCGCTCGATGATCTCCTCCGCGCCCGCGCGCGTCTCGAACCTAGATACCATAACCGACGGATCAGTATTTCGCATCGACAGACGGACATGAACAAAAAGCATACCTGACGAACGCAATAATGCGCGGCGGGTTACTAAGCCGGGTCTGGAAGAACCGCGAGCTGCTGATACGGTGAGGGGACACGAGCGCCGCCAGCGTCTGCACGAAACACCGTTCATTAGGACACATATGCATATGCGGCGCTTAGGACCGTAGGAATGACTACGCACCGGCTCGTCGATGCTCAAAGGGAGTCTGTGGGAATAACAAGGTGTATGTGAGCGCGGGACATTGAAAACACAAGTAAAAAGTGGAAGCATAACCAAAACCGAAACTGTAACCAATCGCAACAAAAGAGAAGTCGTCCAACTATCCGGTATGCCAATACACAAAACACAGAGAGAAAAGCAGAGGGGACAGGAAACCACACATACCCCTCCATATAAAGATTCGTACTAGACCGATCATGCAAGCTCTCCATCTTCGCCTTGAAGCTCGCACTGCCCGCACCCGCACCCGCACCGTCCTCACTCCACTCGCTCGGGGGCGCGAGATGGATGTCCAGCGGTGGGTACGCCTGTGCCTGTGCCTGGTTCTGATTCTGATTCTGAGCTTGGTTATGGCTTTGGACTTGGCTCGGGGCAGGGCAGGGGAGGTTCAGTGTGCTAGCGCTGGTGCTGGAGGGGAATAGGGATGAGGACGAGGTAGAGGTAGAAATAGTGGTAGCGGATGTGGACGGGGTGATTGAGATCGAGGAGGACGAAGAGAGCGAGGGGAGGAGGGACGCCGAGGTGCCTGGGATCTTGTGCGCTTGCTGTGTATGGAGCCCAAGGTCAGTACGGTGTGTGAACTGAGAGTAAAGAAAGAAGAAAGAAAGAAGCGACGCCACGTCGCGCCACATGTCGTAATAGATGAATAAAGACTAGATAAATCGAAAAGCAAGAAGTGGTGCACGGAGCGTAGTGGGGTGTAGTACACGTAACGCAGCCGACGCCGAGCGCCGAGGATGAAGAGTAAGCCTGGGCACATGTACTCGACGATAAAGAATCCACGCATGTACGTGTAAACGCGAATCGAGTGCCGCGGCCTCAGCAGCATACACCCAGCTTAAATGAAATATATATAAAGAAACAAAAGAGAACAAGAAGCACGAAAAAAGAAAAAAGAAAAACGAACAGCAACGTACCTTTGAAAACGTCGGATGCAGATTCCTATACCGGCGGAGGGAGAGGATACACTTCTCCGCCGACTCGACCGTCTCAAAACTGCATTACAAACAAAAAATAAGAATCAGTTACAAGTTACCAGCAACACGGCAAAAAAAAAAAAAAAAAAAAAAAAAAAAGTGCCAGTCCGTCCCGTCTACTATTCCACACATCCATATATGCGCACAAAAAACCAAAAGAAAGAGAAAAAAACAGCAACTCACAGCACGAACCCATACCCACTCTCGCTCTCCCTGACATGCCTCGTAAACGTGCGGACGCTGCGTACAGGGCCAAAGGGCGCAGCGAGCGCAAAGAGCTGGTCCTCGGGGAAGTGCGGGGGAAGGCCGTTGATGTACACGTTGGGCGTCTTGCCTGTGTGGTCCGGGGCGGGGTCTGGTATTATCGGGTTGGGGTTGGGGTTGGGGTGCACTGCTAGGGCTGGGGCTGGGGCTGGAGTTGAAGTTGAAGTTGAGATGCCAGAGGACTCGGATACGGTAGCCGTAGCAGTAGCAGGGCTCGGGTTCGGGGCTAGAGGCGAGGTGGAAGTGGAAGTAGGAGCTGGGGTAGCAGAAGAAGAAACAGAAACAGAGGCGGCGGCGGCGGCAGAGGCGGGGACGAAGGTGTACGTCGGGCGCGCGTTGAGCGCGGGCAGCGGGATGGTCTGCTGTATGGGGGCGCGCGGGAGCTGCGGCGGGTCTGGATCTGGATCGGCGTCCGTATGTGGGGACATGTTGTGCGATTGCGATTGCGACTGAGACTGAGACTGAGGCTGAGATTGTGCGTGAGGCTGGGCTGGGGAAGACTGTGCATGGAGAGACAAAGACGCGAGAGACGATGTTTGGTTTGCTTGTGCTTGGGACGGGGCGGGAGTCTCTGTCGCGTTGGTATTAGTATACGGCATCACGAGAGAAGGGGGAAAAACTGACGAGGCTGCTGCTGGTTAGAAGTGGAAGTGGAAGTAGAGTTTGGATTCGGGTTGAAATTCGAAGCGGATGCAGAAACGGATGCGGAGAAGGAGTGGGCGACGCTCGTGTCGCCAAGGGCGAGCGAGGAGAGGTATATCTCGATGTCCGAGGACGACTCGTCTCCGTCGTCGTCGTCCGTCGTGCCCGTCGCTGCACTGCTCGTGCTCGTGCTCGTGCTCGTATTAGCGCTGGCGCTGCTGTTGGCTGACTGGTAATGGGAGAAGGAGCGCGAGTGCGAGCGATCGTCGGAGGAGGTGGCGAAGGAGCGGGAGGGGGAGCCCGCGGAGGAGGATCCGTCGGAGAGCGGGGACGGGGGAAGCGGGGGGAGGGACATGGCGAATGCTGGATGCTGGATAGAGAAAGACGGGGTAACGCGTGCTGGTGGTTGGGCAGTTGGGTAAAGGCGGGATAGTGGGGGTAGGAACGAAAGGGCAAAAGGGCGTCGAATTCTCCTCGGGCGTGGTTTATAATGGATCGAACGAACGAAAGAAAGAAACAAAGAAGGCTTGCCCACGTGCGCGGGAGACGCGTCCTCGTCTTATTTCGAAGCGCACCCCACACACACCAATCAAACCAGATACGGAAATTGACAAGCCATATCTGGCAGCGGGTGCTCACTCCGAGGAGCCCAGGGATCGGCGCTGGCCTGTTATTTTTAATTAATTCCGGACTGGGGGAAGGCGAAGGACGTCATAGCTGTAGCCACATATATTCATAGTCATGGAGCGCCACAGCCAGAGCCAGAGCGTCGCAGTCCCACTGCAAGCTTTGTGTCCGGTATGCTATCCCAGTGTCCCAGCTTCGACGGTCCTCGTCGGACTCGACCATGCGCAGAACGGTCATAAGCAGCGAGCTCGACCCTCGTTCCTCGAGAGACAAAAGTAGACAAAAGCCAGGCCCTGAACTGCCCATCATGCATCACCCATCACCCAACGCGGCAAACGCCGTGCGTGCAGATGGTTGTAAATTGCAGCACGCCTTGATCCCCTCAGGACCTCGCTCCCTCGTCGTAGCGTTCTTCGCATCCACACTCGTTTTCCCCTCCTATTAGTACATCCCGCCCCTCTTCTCATCTTCTGCCTCTTGTCTCTCGCCACTACCCCCAACACAACACTAAAACACAAAAACTATGCAGCTCACCCGCCTCCTCGCCAGCGCCGCCCTCGTCGCCTCTGCAGCTGCAGAGTTCCAGATCCTCTCGCCTAGCAGCGACGTCTGGTGGGGTACGTCTTTCGCTCCTCGTCACCCCATTGCACACTTTTTTTCACGCGTACTGACAACATGCATGTTACACAGTCGCCAAGTCCCTAAACACCCTCTCATGGACGTGCAACGACCCAAGCGCGCCCAGCAACTTCACCGTCCTCGTCGCCAACACCGTGCGTCCCCTTTCCTTGTCCCCTCTCCCTCCGTTGCCGTCCCACATTCTCCCCCTAAACACCCATCCCATCCCAAACACCACTTCTCCTTACTCCTCTCACCACCAAAACAAACTAACTGAAACATCCACAGAGCCCCACCGTGCTCGTCTCCCCCCTCGCCATCATCAGCATCCAGTACAACTACGACTGCTCCAAGACCATCACGCAGGACCAGCTCCAGGCCGCCCCGGGCACGGGGTACACCATCCTCTTCGCGAACCCCCTCAACTCGAGCGACGTAAGCCCCACCTCCTTCCTCTCCCCTATCTTCCCACTCCTCTCGTCTGCTTCTGCCCATGGTTACCGTAACATTCACACCCTACGCACGTGTTTCTTTTTATTTTTATGTACCGTTCCCAGGGCCACATCCCGGTGACTGCCCCCCCCCTCCACCCCTCATCCCAACCAAAACTGAGACTGACAAACTCCCCCGAACACAGGTCTACGCCTCCTCCCAGCAGTTCGAGATCAAGCCCCTCGGCTCGACCTACCCCACCGCCACACCCGGCCTCCCCTCTCCCAGCGCGTCCGCCACGTCCTCCGGTGCCGGTGCCAACGCGACCCAGAGCGGCTCCGGCAAGAACGGCGCTCTGTCCCTCTCAGCTGGAGGGGCTGGTGCGCTGCTCGGTGCGGTGGGTGTTGCGGCGGTTGGGCTGTTGGGTCTGTAGATCTTGGACGGTAGTAGGTGGTCGGTGGTAGTGATTCCTTATTTTTTTTTACGAGCGAGTAGTGCGTTGCGAGTAGAGTGTTGTTGTTGATTATATACCACGTATCCCCGTATCCCGTACATGCGAAATCGAACGATCCCATGCCCTAGGCGCCTTTCTGTCTTTTTTTCCATACGTGCTGTCGGTGTGAGATGTGAGAGCCCTCCTGGTTTGTGCGCAGGCATACGTATGCAGACAGTAGTACATGACTTGGATCTGTGTGCACGTCCACACGGGCCCTACCTTGCCCGCCCTGCATGATGCATCTATCTCTGAGTCAAACCGCCCCAGCGTGCGCCCACATAGAGCTGCACCCCCCCCACACAGCGTACCGGCGCTATAGTGTAGTGGCTATCACTCGGGATTTTGATATGTTTCTTAGAATATTCAATGGATCTTTCCCGTAACCCAGGTTCGAACCCTGGTAGTGCCTTGCCCAGCAATGTAGCAAATTTGGTTTTTTTGGTTTTTTGGGACTGGTTGGATAGTGACGCTCAATCCCGAGGCCTGAGCACTGAGCACTGAGCAGCATTGGGCACTGGGCGACAGGAGGGAGCAGAATAAATAGGCTTGGGGCTTAAAGCTGAAGCTGAAGCTCGAGCTCGAGGCCTGGAAATCTGGATATGGAATGTGAAATACTTAGTTGTAATCGTCGCTTGCAACTTGAAGCAGCAATTGTCAATGGGAGCCGGACAAGAAGTTGCGGCTGCGCCACCGTGTACCAGTTACTCACTCGCAGCAGTACCGGTACTGTCTAATACAGTAGTGTCCTGAGTCCTCGCCGTGAAACCGTAGTTACCCTGCATTTGACTATGAGCTGCAGCCGGCCTGGGGCAGACAACGTTAACCAGCGCCCGGCACCCGCCTCAAGCCAAGTTCAAACGTTCAGGGGTGGTCCAAACTTCGATGTAATGCCTGTATATCAAGGCGTCGCCCAAGTCCCAAGCATAAGGCGCTATAGTGTAGTGGCTATCACTCGGGATTTTGACCTTGGAGTATTGAATTCCCGTAACCCAGGTTCGAACCCTGGTAGTGCCTTTAAACGATCTACGTAGTTTTTATTTATTAAAAAATTCCACTTTTGAGTTTGGCTGCCATTAATGTGCAGTGGCATGAGCATGACGATCGCGATAAGTATCAGAGGACGTGAGTGGGCCAATCGAGATTCCGAGTCGCAGGATAATAATTGGTAGTATCGAAAGGCTCAAGTCTAAGGGCCGGAAGTCCTAGATTCAGATACCATCGACAAATATTTACAAGAACACAAAAAAGGACAACTTCCCCAGCGTCATCCCCTGGGTCGAACAGGGCTTCTGGCGGAGCGGCACAAGCGCAGTGCCGGTGGTGACGTGAATTGTAATACCAAGTGCATGGCGGTGGATCCAATGTGCTACGGCGTCCTCGACATGGGCCAGTGTGAAGTAGATTATGGTCGCAGAGCGAATTTCTACCACGGGGTTGGACTCGTCACTCACGATCATTGCATTAGGGCTGGGTCCGGCTAGGCAAGTCTGCGACTCGGAGCGTCTCGACTCTGAGCGGCGTCTCAGACGGGAGCCAATTCCTGGGGCCTGAGGAAAAAGTGAAATAGGCAATGCATCCGCTCTGGGTCGAACAGCTCTGCCGCGCTTCAAGTTCGCACGCAATACCGTGACAGTGCTCACGGGTGAAGACCGCTATACGGCCGGACACTGGGGACGAAATAAAAATCTGAGTCATAAACTGCGAGGATGTTGGAGGAGGAAGCAGGAGGAGCGACGGGCGGAGTTGTGCTCAGTGCGACTCGGCTCGGCAATGTGGCGCGCCTAGCCAACGCGTAATGCCTGTGACCCGAAATATCGATAGTAATAGCGAGTAAGAAAAAATCGGTTTTCGCGCAGGCGAGAGCAACGCACGGAAAATGAATGGACAGAACTGCAAGTATAGCACTCCGAGACCTATAATAATTTGCCTAGATTCATCAGTCATCAGTGAAATTTTTTTGTGCGCCGCGCACGCGTTGAGATTTGCGCACAAAGGCCTCGTGAATGAGAGATGAGACGTGAACTTTCAAATAGGAGAGTAGGTGGTAGGAGATGATGTGTGTTGAGTGATAGATGTGATTGGGGCCCCACTGATGGCGCGTGAGCGCTTGTAAATTGATCTGAATAAAAAAGTTGTAAACCTCACAGGTTAGATGTCTACGACTGACTCTTCATGAATAACCTTGCTTGAAGCTCCAGGGGAAAAAAAAGCAATCACGCGCAAATTGTCATGCGTCCGGGACCTGGTTTGAACAGGCCTCTCCGTGCAGCTACCATATTGGGTTGGACACCATGCGCGCTGTGCCACCTAGCCCTGTGGGATGGGGGTAGGTAATCCCAAAGGACAGACAAAAGAGAGACCGCTGGAGAGGATCTCACTATATCCCTTAGAAATTAACGGGCTGGGTACTTATGAATCGAGTAGAAAACAAGACGAATCCTGAAAATAAAGTGGCTTTGTTATGATTTTAGTGAGCGATTTTAGCTGTTGAATAATAATAGACACTTGGAACCTGGGGTCGAGAAACCCCCGGGAACCACATTCAGGTCCCGAGGCCGGAGAACACGAAACACCCCTAGTAAATCACCGATGCTGCTGCGCACGACCGCACGACCGCACCGAGGTAAAGCGCTACATCGGGGCTGAACTCACAAATTTAAAAAAGGAAGAAAATCTCAGAGGGTGAACATACAGGTCCTCGAGATATTTGAAAGGATCATCACGTATGCTTCATTACGGAGCCGCACATACTAGAATTTATACTGAAGGGCGAAGGAACGGAGGCCTGAATACACTATTTGAAATTTGAGGCCTGCCGCCTCAAGCTAAGGTCTTCTGTGCGAGCTAGCCGAAAAAAGAACAAAGCTCTGAGTATTTCAGCATGTGATTGAAGACCAGGGTTGAAGATTTTGCGGTTAAGTATCGGGTGATGAAGGTAGGGGAATCGGCGCTGTGATAGGGACGCATGAGAAGGGCGAGAAGACATTTTGAGAATAATGTCTGCCAGTGGCTCCCGCATACACGACAAAACCTGTTTTAGTTATCAGTTTAAGTGAAAATCGGTTGATACGTTACTTCCTTGAACTATGGCTGTTGTGCGGCGCAATGGGAAGTTCAATTATATAATTTGGTGGTAAGTACCCAATAGACTCACGAAAGAACACGCAATGGTCGTCATGTCAGGGGTCTTCTTGGAGAAAACCCCCGTTCCTTTCGGGCAACGGAAACAGATCTCCTCGAGTAAAGGGTGGCGCGAAGGGGCAATCGACCTGTGAAAACACGGGTTTTGAGCTGCAGCAATCATGCATGTACCTCTTTTAGATAGAGTTCCGAGGATCAATCGATTCGCGCTAATATTAATACGCATTTGTTCTCTGATTGGAGAGTACCGGCGGATTCTCGTAGGTAGTACATATGACAGTGTCCCGTATTGGGGCCGTGGCTGATCAATGATCGAAAATTGTGTTATTTATTGGCAAGGTTTGCTTGGAGAAGACACTGGCCATACCTTAGGCCTTGGGCCTTATAAGTACCTTATTCTGAAGCAGTCCAGACTCTGGAGGAGCATGGGCGAATTCAAACTCCGATCTGGATGACTTTCTTCCGACCTCGCTAAATCCTTACGGGATATCCAGTACGTACCTAGTACTAAGCAAATACTTGTGTGATTTGCTGCAGCTTTCGATCGATACGCCGCTTCCAGGTTAACATGTGATAAGCATGCCTGGATCAGGTTCAGGTACACGGCCCCATCGTCTCTTTTCCTCTCTTTCTGCTGAGGTTGACGCGATGCTCGCGCCTCAGCAGCCCTTGTCGTGGATTAAATTCTTCGCATCGCATTTTCAAGGCAAGTTTTCACCGGCTACCCCAGTACACTTTCCTGAAGCAGCTGCCGGGTGAGGACCTCCGAGGATGGACCATATGCATCCGTCAACCACGTGTCCCGGCGCCAATCTATGTATATCATGCGCAACCTGAACTTAGCAAACCCACATTAACCCGGCCCTTGAACAAAAAAAAATAGTGGTTCTTTGTAAGTAATAATAGATTCAGAAACATTATCGTCCACAGTTAAAGCACCGTGACTGGGCCTCTCGTTGATGGCAAATCTTGGGACTCTCGGCCTGTCATGTTCAGTCACTCACTGCCCCCGGCGCTTCAAATGCACGTCCATCTTTCTACCAATGACATAGTCAACGGAGCTAAACGAGATTCGGCAGACAAATCCAGGACAAACTACATCTATTGGGCATCTGTACGTCTGCAGACATTTGTGATGTCGTTCGGAAGCACTGAATGATTTACTGCAGCGATCCTAGTTTATGACCATCTGCTCACGCTTGGTGATTTTGACCTGCGATAAATTTGGCTGCTACATCTGACTGATGGCAGACAGGGAGGTCAAACATATATGGGCTTTGCCCAAAGCGCGAAGCGCATGGCTTTTCCTCCCGAATCGCTATTTTTTCCTTTTCGCAAGCCTTCCATTGACGGTTACGAATTTCATGACAGGTCTGAACAATCAAGTGAGCTTATCTTCTATTACCTGACGCAGCAACCTCAGTATGATCTCACCGCTTTATTCAGAAGTCCTCAATGTTATCTACTTCATGCAAACGCGGTCTAACCATTTGTTCATCACAGAACCTGCCTCGCTCTTCTCGGCCTTCGTCAATTAGCTCTATTGATAAACCAGGGAATGGTATGCAGTGAGCCATTTTCTGCACTTGCCTATCGTGAGTCGAATGTCATATACCCGGTAGTTCTCCTCTCCCTACGTGTATACGCGCTATACGGGGGCTCAAGACGTATAGCTGTTACTCTCACGTCCAGCCTCTTGATAATGGCTATTGGTATTTTCGTATGTTTTATCAGCACTTTGCTCGTCATCATTTTGAACTCACCTACTTTAATCTCTATAGTGCTCAGTATTACTTACAAAACGATTAGCGCCATATAATTTCGTGCATGGGTGTCATGCGGGCATTCCTTGGGACAGGTAGGTCATCAAGTGCTATCGACGTTTTTACTTATCTTACCTCATCTCGAGAGCTGTTCGTATGTATACCCTTTACAAGGTCACAGAACCGACCAGTGAAGTTCTCGCTGCTTTTAGGACTGGTCATTGCCTGGGAGTCATTGTTCGCATATGACCTCTTGCTTTTCTGTCTCACTGCGGCGAAAACGTGGCAAACGCGCCGGCGGCATGGCAACGTTCCAATATTGAGATTGGTTTTTCGTGATGGTGAGGTTTTTGTCTACTGGTTTATGTATTCCTTATTTAATATTCGCACAAGGCCTTGCTTATTTCGCGTGAGTTCAACCACCAACCCATGACAATATTGATGTTCATTCTACTGCTCCAACTAAGCATCATCGCTCTTACCAACGGTGTAAATATAATGACGTACTGGGTCAGTTATTTTCACGCTTTGATTGCCAGCCTTGACTGAATTCCTTTATGGTCAGCTTTCCGGCGTTAGTCCTTCTCACCGCAATTTTGTTCCTTTCCAGTCACTCACTCGCTCATGAAACTGTGAAACAGCCCTTTCTGAAAGGTGGCTTATCTGTGTTCGCAGCAAGGTGAATTTCTGCGTATGTTCTTCAACAATCACTAACCCTCATGTAGCTTATCGACCACGATGATGTCGAGACTAATGCTCAACCTACATGCCTTGAATAATCTGGGAATCTACACTACTTATGCGCCGGGAGAGCTGGACGTTTCGCGACAGAATAACCCGCCACTTCCTACGCCCAGGGTGCGCGAAGAAGGCGGAGTGGAGCTCGATTCCATCTGGACTGCTGATCTCCATCCTGAGTATACCCTATACGATGACGAACCCGACTATCATAGCAGGAGTAACGTTTCAACTGAAAATCAAGTGTTATTATAGACTTATGCTCATGCTTGGATGGCCCTTTGCTTCTATTCGATGAGATTTCGCTCATGCGCCCTAGTTCTTTGGCCAACGTCTAGATGGCTGGCATATTTTGGCTGAGAGTTTGAGTGT